TTACGTACGTTTACTTCTACGTTCTACGTTCGTACGTCGTCGTACGTACGTTCGTTACGTCGTCTCGTACTCGTACTCGTCTCTACTCTCTCTCTCTCTACTACTACTCCTCCTCTCTCTCTCTCTCTCTCTCTCTCTCTCTCTCTCTCTCTCTCTCTCTCTCTCTCTCTCGTAAGTCCAGGTTTCTCCTGGTACAGCCCAGAATTTGGTGTTTTGGGGCGACTAGTCCTGGAACCAGCCTAGAATTTGCAAATTTATGCATGAACAGAGATGCATTATAATTGAGATGCTCACCTCTCTAGACTATTCTTAGCTTAGTTTTTTGGATGCAATCGAGTTGTTTACCTTTTCAAAGGGAGGGGCAACATCCTTCTATAAGAGTGAACAAGTGTGCAGTAATATAGGATGTGTAGAAAGATCAAAATGGCTTCCGGGATTTTTCGTAAGGGGTAGCTAATTTATAGCTTTTGTGATTTCACTTTTTGGGTCTTTTCCTCAGACTAACTTATCATAGGTTGCACAGCAGTGGAAGGAATAGACCTCCACTGTCCTAGAGAAGGTCAGCATCATTTACCTTTTGATATCATATCTGCCTCCCATGTCATCATTGTGCCTGGAGCCTCTAAACTGCATGATCTATGGGCACAGCTATAATGCTACTTCCCACTTTCTTCTGCAACCTCAGCCTTGTCAAGCGATCTCTCTGTTACTCATATGACAAACTGTCCATAAAGAAACAAATATGAAATAGCATAATTAGAGAAACTTGAGAATAAAAAATTCTTCCAGATCGCCCTTGCCTTTGGAGTCGGTTAATATTGGAGGTAAAAATCTTCCTACTGCCTTCATGTTGGTGGCATACTAAACAAATGTATCTTAGATGCTCTCCAGTCATGACCTAAACTTTGCCACAACCACAAGATGCTACCACATGAGTAGTTCATTATCATCATCATCATCCAAGCCTTATTCCAATTATTTGGGGTTGGCTACATGAATCTTATTCCTCCATTCTTCTCTTTCAAGGCCCATAACCTCAATAAGAATAGGTTTAGGATTCATGATAAGATTTGGCAATGTTTTACGTTGGCTGCCTACCTAATGTAAATCACCTCCTTTACACAAGCTTCGGACGGGTTAAGGGAAAGTTTAAGGTCCTCACCCTTATTAGACCACATGAATAGTTGTAAATTTTTTAATTCAATAAGAAATGAAAACTAAAAGAAAGAAAACTCTTTCTGTAAAGTAACTTTCATATTGGGTGTTAGATCTGATACCTTTTGAACCCTTTTCATGGAGATACTAGAGTTGTAAAGAACATGCCAACCATGACTCCAAGAGTGAGAAGTCTGGTCTAAAACACTCCTTCCACTGGTCCAAGTAATCAACTAGTTGAAGCAGTCAAGCTATTCTAGTTAACGACTTGGTTCTCTGGGTTTTTCATCAAAGCCAGTTGTGGTATAGGCCAGTTCTCGTCCTGACAAATTTGCTGTTCTATTTCAATCTGTGTAACATTACAATCTTATTTTTTTGTCTGTAGTACTTGGGAATTGGGATCTATTTAATGGTCTTTATTTTCATAGTATATTCAGTACAGCTTACAGATCCTCAACTCGATGTCTTGAGGATCCTTTTAATGGTCTGTATTTTTATAGTATATTCAGTACATGTTACAGATCCTCAACTCGATGTCTTGAATATTGACATAGGTTTTTTGGAAAGTCGAGTTTTCTCACAGAAGTATACAACAGAGTCCTTCCTTTTCTGCAGGTATGCTACCTATATTCCTGCAAATTTCTCTTTTTTTGTATATTTCAATTTGATTTTCGCTATTTGACTTTTTTATCTGTTTATAGGTGTCTTAGAAGTTGCACTTTTCTTCTTACTATACAGAGCTAGAGGTTAGCAGCATGTAAATTTCCATTTATCTGCTGGTTGTTAAGTAATATCTATTTTAAAAAGGAAAGTACTCTGTGCTAACACTTGTATTTTCTACAGTTACCTATCACCTCCCCAAGTGTCAGATGTCAACAAAGGACACTTTGGGACTGCCATTCAACCATGTGAAAAGTCCATCAAAAATTTAAACCGAGGACTGAGACGCCTCAACCATCCCTTGTTGACATATGATGGTTGCAAAGATGTTAGGAAATTGTGGGAGATGCAAGTGCTACCATTGTTTGTAAACCTTATTTAGAAATGGCAATGAGAGGGGTTTCCTTTACCTTTATATTGAGAAGATTTTATCAGAGATCCCATCTGGGAAACAGATTATTCTGAACCTTATGCATCAAATCATGCCGAAAAATATTAAATTGTCTTTGGCTCTCAGCTTTTGGCAAAGAGAATGTCGTGAAAAGTTGATCTGGTCAGAGAGGCCAATAACAACAGAAAAAGCAGGTCAAATTCCACTCTTAGAATAAATTTGAGGGCCATTCATCTAACATTAGTTTTCAAATTGGTAAAATTTTAAGAATCTCCGTAAAGGATAGTGGGCTTATGGCCTAGATTGAAAATATTTCTAAAATGCAGCAAGTTGATTCCGAACTCACTCGAATCGACTTCTTTCACTATTCTCCATGAAGGCTTGGCTAATTCTCTGACTCAATTTCGGCTATGCCGAGTCCCAATCAGAGTTGGTCTCTCTAACCTGTCTCTAGATCTAATTCCCACTCAAACCTATAAATCATAGAAGATCTGAACACACATTGAATGCCTTGCGGAGGTTTGAAGGACAATTTTGCTGAAATTTCTGAAGAGGCTTCAATCCTCTTGTGACAGATTTACTGTTTTCCTTGGTTAAGGCATTCTTATGATTTATCTACCCAAGGTTCATACCATCAGAATGGTCCATGGAAGAGGCTTAACTTCATTGGCTCCAAATAGTCTTTGGGCTGCTGAGACTTGTTCCTCTATTGTAATGATGATCATAGGGGTGGCATATAACAAAATAGGGACTATTCCTCCTTTTGTGCTTGGCTATCTCTAGTGAGAGAGAAAACCCACCAGTGGCGAGTTGGATGACGAACACAAATTTCCTTACTTAGATCTCCAGCCTAGCATACCTTTTCATGCTGAGAAAGTCCCAGTTGATCACAACATAAAACTATTGGACTTCTTAGCTTGCTGCTGCCCTTATGGGCGAGCCAAAGAGTATAGCCATCATCTCCTCAAATATTCGTCATTGTCTCCTTACTTACCATGTTATTGAAATAGTCATGAATCAGGTAAGTTTTTCATTCTATGTGATTTTGGGGGAGAAGCTAGCTTAGGGGATGCCATTCTCAAGTGACTGGGGATTGCTAATAGTGCCCAAACTATGCCACTCTTGGCCAATCATTTTCTCATAGAAGGACCATAGTATTTTGGTCGAATGTAAATTGTGATGGTAATGTGATTGACTGAAGTTCTCAAGGTTAAGTGGGCCATGCTTTGACTCACTTCTAATTATCTTAGATGCCTTCAAATGACACTGTTGCATATAATTTGTGAGGGAATGCTGTTGCGAATAGGGGTGACCTAGAGCACAGCAGTGTCCAGTTCTCAGTGCAACCTTGGACCAGCTGTAAGTTTGGTAGTATTTATAACATTGACTAGCAAGTATCATGTGTCCCGTATGGTGTAAGACTAGCTTACCAACATTTTGTGGTTACTTTAGTGGTGCACTTCCCTACCTCTTAAAATTCTTCATTACCCTCGGGGAATGTCCGTTTCAAATTTCACTTACACAATGTCCTATATAACACAGTATTACTGTCAGAAAACAAATTAAATACTGAATTGCCAAAGCAGGAGAAATCATTGGTTTCAGGATTTCAGGAAAATTATTCGAGAGTTTTCATGAACACTCGAGAAATTTTGTATAAGACTTTTGATTCCTCCTCAAAAATCATTTCCCACATTAGAACGATCGAAATTGAATGAGGGTTATTAAGAATATCTTTCTGGTACATGATTTTCCTAATATGTATTTTTTCCTAGTTGTTGCTGTGATTCTTTCTTATAGAAAATTTTATATTAATGCAGTGAAGCTTAGGCTATGGAAGAAACTTTGTTACTTAAATCTGCACTGTGGCTCAAATATTGATCAAATTTTCTTGGAGCTAATATCCTACATCCATTCCTTTCCTTGAGCTCTCCTCAGTTTGTACGGATTATTTTATGGCTCTATTCTTTAAAGAAATTTATTTGGTCATAAATTATCTTGTGCGTGTTATTGACTTGAGGATAGAGCCAGTTGCACGCTTGTGGATCCTTTTTCAAACAGGGCTTGTCCTTTTCCTTTATTTTTCTCCATGTTCTCAAACAAGTTTGTTGTTTATAGATGGTTATCTTGTCTCTCTATTTCTTGGTAAGACTGCTTTTCACTTTGAATCTGTGTAGGCATCTGCTGGTGAAAATTATGGAGGGAACTTATTACTTTGACATGCCATTGGAATGGGCCGCAGATAATATCCTCATTCTATTTCTGAGAAAGGTTTGTAGAGTTCGCCACTGCTGATATTTTTGGGTAATATTTGAAAGGCTGTTTTCTGATGTTTATTTGGATAGTGGAAAGATTGTGCTTGCACCGGCTTGCACAGGCAACTTGTTCATGCCCAGCCTTTAGCCAGAATAGTTCAGACACATGCATATGCAAATATACATGCACTTATCAATCATCCATGAATAGTTTAGCACCGTGCTCAAGCACACATGCATTTGCTTTATTGCCAGAGAATAGAAGTTCTTTTTGCAGTTGCGAAAACTTGGTGAGTCAAGTCAACTCATCCAGTGGCCTGGTTGTATAAATTACAAACTCGAAACGTGCCTGTGTTTTCCCTGTTATTATGATTATTATTATTATTGGGTTTATTTGGCCAACAAGTTGTCTCTTCTAATTTGGCAGCATTATAGCATGGTCTGTTGGGAGCTAGATTTAATTCCATAATTGCTACATTATTTTTTAAAGGGAAACTATCGTATATATTCAATTTTGTCCAGAAAATTATAGGAATACCAAAATCTCAAATTTTTTACACTGATTCCCATATTTCCATCTTTTTCTTTGATATTCCTTTTCTGCTCCCCCCACCCCCAAAACACACAAAACACAAAAAAACGGATCTAGCAGGTTGATGGCTGTGCCCTCACCCTCCTGGGCCTCCATTTGGGGTGTCAGCTGGTCGGGTTTGGTTCGGATCAACCTCGACCCAGCTACATCCCACCCAAACCCGATCAAGACCGAGACCGAGGTCGAAAATTAAAAAAAAAATAAAAACTTCATTTTATATATTAGTAAATTTATAACTTATACTTTTAACATATTTTTTGCTGGACTTGGGTCACCTCCGACCCGAGCCGATAGGTCCATGCTGGACTTGAACTCAGACTCCGATGGACATGAACCCAGTTTCGGTCGACCCAACTCGATTGCCACTCCTAGCCTCAATGAGGGCAAGGGTGCCTTAGGCGCCGTCACAGACCACAGCCATGAACTTAACAAGTCTATGGTGGGGCCCAAAAGTTCTTGGGACTCCAAGAGGGTGTGGGTTGCCTTAGGCACTGTCATGGACCTGTTAAGTCCATGGAAAAACCATCATGGACTTAAGACATCTCTAGCAGTGCCCTCAACCTCCTAGGCCAGTGTGGGGTTCCTTACTATCACGAACCTATTACGTTTGTGACAACTGCTATAGACCTAATAGGTCTGTGGCAGTGCGCTTGCCCTCCTGGGCCTCTAAGAGGATGCAGGATGGCTCAGGCACCATCATGGACCTGTTAGGTATGTGACGAAACTACCATGAACCGATTAAGTCCGTGGTGGTGCCCTTACCCTCGTGTGGGTGCCATGGCGAAACTGAGGGGTGCCTTAGGCATTGTCACAAACCTGTTAGTTCCATGACAGGGTAGAAAAGGAATCGTCGTCATCATCATCCAAGCTTTATCCCAATTATTTGAGGTCGGTTAGGGGTAGGAAAGGAATGTTTTTTTAGAAAAGGAAAATGGGTATGAGTGTAAAAGAATTGGGATTTTCATATTCGTGTATTTTACTAGCATGTATATGATAGTTTTCCATTTTAAATTTCACACAGAAACTTGCCGAGTTTGCGTTTTGCTTCAGCAAGTTGATTAGTTTTTTGGTAGTGATTGTCAGCCACCCCATTCAAGTTTTTATACAATTATCGAGAATCAACAAGGATCCGTGATCCACAATGATACTGATATTGAACTTTCACATTGCATGAATGGACATGTGGACTAAAATAATTGTGGAAAGTAATTATCCAGTGTGATGCATATGTATGTATACTTGCATATTCATGGAAAGCTTGCATAAACTGCCCTATTAAATACCTGATATATGAATGCCTGCAGTGCATGCTAGTGTTTCACATTTACAGACAGATGCTTCTTGGGAAATCTACACATGAATTCATGCATTTACTTGGGTATGGTTTTATGTCAGTAGTAGAGTAGTAATATGTTCTTTTCATTGCAGTTGGGCTTTGTGCAAAGCCTTGATATGTAGAACTCAAGGTTGAGTTCAAGGTTAAAGGTTGATGGTTTCCATCTGTGCGTAGAAGGCCATGTACATCGAGCAAAAACCAGTGTACCTCTCCAAGTAAAGGTGATCTTCAAAGCTGAGGCCGATCTTTTGTTTCCCCAAGGGTTCATATGCTATGTAGAAAATCCTCATTTTACTACAGAAATACATCAATTGCCAGTGAAATTTGTAAAGGATAGAAGAAAATCACCAAAAGCAACTGTGTAAATAGACATCTTTCTCGTCACATGGCAACTTCCAATTTTTGAAGAATGGAACATTTTGTATGGTATGAGTATGGATTTTCTACAGATCTTCGGACTCAATTTGAACTTGGGGTTATGTTGATTTGGAGGAATTCAATTGACACACCCAACTGTACATTGTTGGCACCAAAAATTTGCATATAACTGTTGGGGGACTACTACAAAACCCAAAGGATATAAAAACACTCTTTAACATATTTTTTCCTGACATTCACAACTATTATAATTTCATAGAGACATACAACAACACATGGTTAGTACACGTGCTGCGCAACAGCAGGTTAGATTTTAGGTTTGGAGAGGGATTAAGTTAGGGATTTATGTTTGGTGAGGTATGAAGCTTAGTCTGAGCCTCATATCAATTGTTTTTCTTCTTTAATCTCTGAAAAAGATTAGGAATGAAGTTTTGATGGTCAAAATTTTAGTACCATTGGGTACAATATTTCTTGCTTTATCAAAAGCTCCATTGTTTGATGATCAGTGACGTTTGAATCTATTGATCCTATATCTGCAATTTGAATGATACATCTTGTCTTTCCTATACTTGTTTTCTTCTATTTAAATTGTTAATAAAGAATTAGCATTGAGATATTTGATCCTTGTGGAGTAGCTTGTTTCTTTCCATATGGGATGGATTATATCAAGATGGGGTCTTTGTTTTCATTCGGTGTAACAAGACTCGGCTTAGTTACTCAACCTCGTCCAATGTGCAAGGCGAGTTTTTCCCAAATATGGTTGGTTTGTCTAGTTGGCAACGGACTGGGCTAGGCTGGGCCCTATCTTGGCCCTGCTCCCAATACCGGCCCAGGCCTGACCTGACAGAGCCAAAGGGGCATTGGCCCTATTAGGGCATGGCCTTGTCAGGGCCAAGGCAAATGGAAAAATGAAAAAAAAAATTGAAGAAAATAAAGACAAAAGGGCAGAACCAGGTTGCCCTTGTCTTCGCCCAAGCTCAGGCCTAGCCCCAAGGCCATATTTTGTGATTCAAGCCCTAATATTTTAGGGCCAGCTGACTGGCTAGGCAGGATCACTTGGGCCATTGCCACCCCTATTCCCAAGTTTAAGTTTGTTGTACATGTATGATTGTATAGTATATAGATAAGGAAAAAAGTTTATATAGAGCTGAGGCTTTAAGCAATCAAATTAGAGCTCACCTCAAAGATTTCACTAGAAGAGCTTGTTTTTATGCTCAAATATCTTCAAATTGATCATCTCGATATTAAGATGCATGGATATGAGAAAAAATATAGATTTTGTTTTTTTGAAAATAGCGCATCTTGTAAGACATTTTTGAACTGTAAATTTTAAATAGTTTCAAATTTTCATATATCTGTTTGATCTAACAAATTTTGAAGCTTTAAATTTTATAATTAAAGATAAAAATATATTTTAGAGAAAATATCTCTGTACACCCTAATTTGGTATTCGCTTTCCCAATAGACTCTCCAATTTGAAGGTTGGCATTAATTTATCTAAAAACCTATATCCTAACCCTCTAGCCCTATTAACCCAAAGGTTTTGCTCCTTAAAACATTTTTTTCTGCTCTAAACAAACACACAAAAGACATCCATACCCAACCTCTCCTGTATCGCTCCTCTCTCTCTCACCCTCTCAACACTTCTATCCCAATGGCTCTCTCCCCCAAAGCTTATCTCTCTCAACCCCATGGTCTCCACCCACCAAGCGCACTCAAAGATTAGAGACCCCAAAGATTAACCCCTCTTTCTTAGAGAGAGTTTGTGGGAAAGCAAAAAAAAAATATATCAAATGAGAGAGAGAGAGAGGAGAGAAAAACCCTAAAGAGAGGGGGGAAGGAATATGAAATCTAGAGAAGAGTGAGGAGAGATATAAAATTACATAATTTAGAGAGAGAAAATACAAGAGAGAATAGAGTAGAAGAGCTTATCTTGAGAGAGTATAAGAGAGCAGCAATGTCACGACCCGCCCCCCCCTTTTAACCCCTACTGTACTCAGGGCGACAGAGTGCGGGATCACGATTGGAGGTCGCGAATGTCACTTAAGTGAAAGTGGCTCAGCACGTGTTAGAAATGCGAAATCAAAGCAAACTACGAAAATTAAATAAAAACTCATACATCAAGCACTAAAACTGAATAAATTAAAACCATTAAATTTCATTCAAACTCCAAGATTCTTTACGATGTAGTTCAAGGCTTACAAACCTGACTTTACAGTACATCACATCAAAATAACACAGTGGCCTCACCACCTGAAACCTACTATGCAGAGAGGGATCCCTGACAGGTCTGAAGCTTCAAATGTCTACCGCCAGCACTTTGCTGCTCAACTCCCACAGTCGAGTGCTATCACTCTACACATATGAACGTAAGATGAGTGAGCTATAAGCCCATTAAGTAGATCATGACCTTGTATTCCCGTCTATATGCAGATACATAATAACATAGCCTACGGTTCAGCAGAGATCATACTGGTATCACAGAGTGGAGTCGTACATCAGAATATAAACACTAGCAGTATAAAGAGAGTAAGGTTCAAATACCAGAGCATCGAATATTTCATGAGATAGCAATTACATCATTACTTATCACAGTTCCAGTTAGACACTCATACAAAATATCTAATTCAGACAAGCAGAAAATATAATTATTTACTCCCGAAGTAGAAGCTACATCGATCAGGCTAAGCCAATCCTGTAACGTGGGA